TATGGGGAAATTTGATTCGGTTCTCATCCAGTTTGGGTTTCTGACCAGAATTGTGGAGAGAACTGAGTTTGTGAACCAAGGTACCACTGTACTGATTTCCAATATGGTACACTTTATCTGTAAGCAAAAAAACACCAAGATCACCCAATCAGTTAAGCCAAAAACGCAGTCACTGTAGATTTTTCCATGATGTGCCTCATTCAATCCACCGGAAAACAAGTTGTTTGAAACTGCAAAGTGCACCCTGAATCCACACTTTCCTCTGTACCCAATACTTCCGCTTAGTCCAAGCTCTCTAAACGTCCCTTCCCCAGCTGTTCTCCCAGATGGTACAGCTCTTTCAGAAATCAGCTCCCCAAGCAAGGTCATCATTACCTAAAGCACACCCATTCCCCCTCCACCTCTAATAACTCACCTGCTGATTTCCTTCTTTTAACATATTCTTTGATTGGTAATCTTCCTTTTTCTTTAAACTTGTTCACCACCTATCTCCCTACACAAGAAAGCAAGCTCCTTGTAAAGACCTTAAGTCTGGCTAAGCTATGTATTCCAGGGTCTAGCACAGTATCTGCCACATATGAATAATTAAATGAATGAAAACCAAAGGAAACCTGCAGATTAAAATGAATCTAAAAGGAAGGAAGAGTCAGGTAATGGTGGCCCACACCTGTGATCCCAGTGTTCTGGGAGGCTGAAGCAGAGGACTGCAAGTTCAAGCCCTGCCTGGGCAATTTAGGAACTTAGCAGGAACCTGTCTCAAAATAAAAAATTAAAAGGGCTGTGTCCAAAGCTCAGTGCAAAGGCCCAGGGTTCAATCCCCGTTACTGCAAAAATAAATAAAAGGAAGGAAGGGCTGGTGGTACTATATTTTACACCTTAATCCTTTCCTTAACCATGGAATCTGAGAGCTTGAAGGACCTTAGGCATTACCTTGCCACTTTTCAGGTTGGAGCACAATGTCAAACACAAGCACCCACAGGTTAATCATGTAAGCTAGCTGGGGAACAAAATAGTCATGATATAAAAATGTTTTATAGCGAGGAGTTTGCTTAACATTTTGTTTGTATTTTTTTATTTATCTTTGAGCAACTTACATTAATTAATCTGTGCAATACTTTGCATTTCACATCTTCACATCTTCACTGAAACATAAAACTGTTCATGAGATTACAATTACAACAAGGTCTGGCATATGACATGCAAAAACAACCACTCTATTATATTTTCTTCTCATTAGCAAGCCTCAATGCGTAAAAGTGAGAATGAACTTAGGCCTTTTTCTACTCAAAATCTTCCCAAAAGGCTCACTACTTTCCTTTTTTTTTTTTTTTGGTTGTTGTTGCTATATAGATTTTTCAATAAAAAAAAAAAACATTTAGAGGCAACAGGCCTACAAAAAGATACAACTTTGTGTCACTGCCTGCCTTGCAAGTGCAAGGTCCTGAGTTCGATCTCTGGTACAAAAATAAAAAGATGTAACTTTGACGAAAACTCTAGTAAGACTATGGTATATGGTAGCACCAACGAATTAGGTGACTCAGTTGCAAGGACCCGTCTAAGAAAACACTGCAGGAGAGGGGTAGGTTTGGAGAAGAATTAAGAGTCCTACTGGAAGAAATAGCAAATAAACATATGAAAAATGTTCAACATCACTGCTCATTCGAGAGATGCAAATGAAAACAACACGAGATTTCACCTCACCCCAGAAAGAATGGCTGCCATCATGAAATCAACCAATAACAAATGCTTGCAGGGCTGTGGGAAAAACACAACTCTACTCCACTGCTGGTGGGAGTGTAGACTGGTGCAACCACTGTGGAAATCAGTATGGAGATACCTCAAAGAACTTGGACAGGAAGTCCTATTTGGCCCAGCTAGTCCCCTGCTGAGTATCTTCCCCAAAGAATTAAAAGAATCATACCACAGTGATAACATGCGCACTCATGTTCATGGCAGCACAGTTTGTAATAGCTAAAACTTGGAAGCAGCCCAAATGCCCATCAGCTGGAGACTGAATAAAGAAAATGTGTTTTTTGTATAAAATGGAGTGCTACTCAGCCATAAAAAAATGGGCAATTAGAGACATTTATAGCTAAATGGATGCACATTGAGGCGATACTCTTAAGTGAATAAATAGGACACACATGTAAATACCAAATAGTTTCTCTAGTGTGAGAAACTTAAAGTGCAAATAAGGACGAAAAGGTATAATAAATAATGTGAAATAGGAAGAAAAGAGGCAAAGGGGAAGGGGAAGTGGGAGGGGGAGGGGAAAGGAAAGAAGGGAATTGAATTACTATGAGAAAATGAAAAAATAGGAACAAAGTCTTTGTAAATAGGGAAGGGTGGAGGGGTTAAAGGGAGGGCAGGGGAAGGGGGACAAAAATAAGAACCAAGAGAGATTATGTAAAGGTGCAATTTCCAACAATGAATGTCATTATATTGTATACCTAAAATGTACCAATAAAATAAAATTTTAAAAAAAGAGTCCTACTGGAAAAGGAAATCCCAGGTCAACCTGGTGAATGTAATGAAGGTGGAGTCTCTAGCAAGATTCTCCAAACTCAGTCTGGATTCAATTCTCTCAATCTGAAATCAACACATGGCTTGAATTGCAATCATTTTGTAAAACAGAAGTGTTATACGAGCATATGTGTTATAAAAGTATGATAAAAACATCGTAATTTCCAACATGTATATCTAGAGTATAGTCCCAACTTTGTTTAGAATAGAGAACACGTGGGTTGGGGATGTGCCTCAGTGGCAGAGTGCTTGCCTGACATGTGTGAGGCCCTGGGTTTAATCCTCGGTGCTAGCAGAGAAAAAAAAAGAATAAAATAGAGAACATGAAAATTTTAAAATAAGGTCCTTAATACAGCTGTTGATGTAACTATCTTCTCAGACTCCTAGTTTATGGTCAGCTAAGCCTGAGGTACCCTGAAATATATTTTAAGACTTGAGAGTCATCTGACTGTACACAAACAGGTCATGGATGTACTGACAGTCAGCTTCAGCTTGCAATCCAGCTAAAATCGGCTATTTGGCTTTAGTTGTGTCCCAGCCTTTGGAAGGTAAAGAAGTTGGAAGCTTATTTTAATTTAAAGTCATTTCTGTCATCAATGAACCTGTCTATGATTCTGTGACTGAGAATCTTCTGTAACTATGTTAATAAGTTTGAGTTTACTGAAAACATCTGCATATTCACTTTGAAACACAGATAAGCAGTCTAGCTGTACTCTTGATGACAACCTTTAACTTATCTGGGAGTAAGTTATGTCTAACGTACTTTTTGTAGGCCTATCAATGCAATAGTAAAATGTCACAGAAATGTAATGATTTAAGAAGCTTTCAATCTATGCCCCAAAGCAATTAAATACTTTCAAATAATCAAACAGATGAAATTAATAAAAAAAAATCAAAGGAAAGTACATTGGTAGGCTGTTTCTAAAAATGTAATATAAAACCAAAAAGCAGGAATTATGTAATAATCCTAATCTTCGAAGGATTGTAACTTTAAACGAAACTATTTTTAAGAACTATGCCTAATTTTCTAAGCAATTACATTTGTGTCAGAGATCGGTAAGCAAAATCCATTTGGAAATTTTTCACAATATGGGATAATTAAATAAAAGCAAAATTTCAGTTCTGTACAGAAGATATTTGATCACAGTTACACTTAGCTGTGGAATAATGTCGATTTTCAACATCTGTTCCATATACCTATAAATCCCAATGAATTTCTTCCTGTTAGTATCTAACCTGATCAAGCCTGCTCCTGCTAAGGATCTGCTGACCCAGAGGGTGGGTGAGGCTGGGAAGGTGTCTAGGAGAAGGGTTTATAATGCCCACTGTTTTTTAAGAGCCAAGTATTCTGGAAAGAACATGAGCTTTTGACTCAGAAGCCATGATTCTGAGGCCTAACTCACTACCTCAAAAAGAAATAGCAGGATGTGGTGACGCTCGCCTGTGATCTCAGCACTCGGGAGGCTGAGGTAGGAGAGTCACTGCAAGTTCAAGGCCAGCCTGGGCTATATTGTGAGTTCAGTCTGAACTACTCGAGGAGACCCTTTATCAAAAAGAATGAAATTTAACTGCACAATTTCTCTTTTCTCACATCTCAAATGATGACTAAAACTTAGCTTCACGGAGTGTGTTGCTGGTGAAGTCAACTAATACAATACAAGCAAACTACCAAGTATGGACCCTAACACAAGGCATCTGCTCATTAAACACTAGCTCTCACAGCCTCTCGGTGTTCCACCACTGTTTTGTGTGTTTCTAGATTTCACATTTCCTACGAAACAACCATAACGTAAGTCATTGTGTTATAAGATTATGACTTTAAATCCGAGTATTTGCAATGTTCCAGTAACTCTTCCCAGGCCTGTGCCTTCAGCCAGCATTTCCAGGCCCTTCTGGTATACACAGTGCAACGAATCTACCTGATCTCAATCCTCTACATTTCTGGCAGGAGATATCTAAAGTCAGAGAAACAGTCAAAAAGACAAAGAATCGAAGACTCATAGGCCATCTCGGTGGCACCTACGGGAAGCCACAACACGCACTCTGGAGAGGGAAGGAACTGGGGCTGGGTGGGATTCCAAAGCCTGTGCTGGACTGCGTTGCGCCTGGGGTACACAGGCCGCCCATGGAAGAGCGCAGCTCCTGGCTGCATCCTCGCATGCTCCAGGCGGGCGGAGCAGCGCCTGCAGAGCGGCGTGTTCGGGGGACGCCGCCCACACGCGCCTCCGCTCGCTCACACCGTAACCGCGGAGGGAGGCTCCATCCCGCCTCACTTCCTGCAGGAGGGAGGAAGGACATCTTGCCTCAGGGAGGCCTGGGAGACTGCGGCCCGGAGACGTAGGCCTGCGGTCCCAGCCTCGGCGCCGGACCGGCCCAGCCCTGCAGCTGCGGCGGCGGCGAAGCCCGCGCGCCCCCGGCCCTGCCGCGGGGCCACGCCAGGGGCGCGGGGCGCGCGCAGGCCACTCGGGGTCACCCACCTTTCGCACTCTTCTGGCTGTGTAGAGCCCCATTCCGTCCTGCACCCGGGAGGACTTCAGGGAGAACCTGTCTGGCACGTACATCCCCAGCATGTTCACGGACGCTCAGCCGCTTTGCGCGCGGGAGGCGACACCTCTAAATTTGGGGTGCCAGGGTGGAGGTCAGAAGCCGGCCGGGAAGGAGGAAATGGAATTTTCCTCCCAGAATCCCCACCTCCCCGCCGATTCTTCCAGGATCCCCCGCGGCTCAGCCCCTCCTTGTCCCTGGTCAGTCTCGGCCTGGAGCCGCCGCTGCCATTGCTGCCTGGGGCGCGGGGGGCGCGGGCCGGGGCGCTGTAGGCGCGGGGACGCCGCGCTCTGATTGGCCCGAAGTTGGCGGCTCTGACCCGCGCCTGGGCACGGAGCCTGGGGCCCGGCGCACCCGGAGTCGCCAGCCGGGACCGCCCGCATCCCCGGCCCCGCGCATGGCCACCCTTCCCGCCATTGTCCAGCCTGGGGCCTCAAACCTTGCCTCCCTAAACTGTTATGTGCGTCCCTTGCTCCCATCTTCGCAGCTCGCTTCAGATCCAAAGGAGAGGGCCCTTGACGCGGCTGGACGCTTCCTCCACAACTTGACTCCGAAAGAGAGCTTATTGCCCTACTGCTATAGAACAGCCCTCAAAACAGGCCCAGGAAATCCCGTGATTTCCACTTTGGCATTGAGCATCTCTCTATTCTTCGTGCTTGCTTCAGAGGTTTGAACCCACAGAGGATCAGAAAGTGCGTTCATTAAAGTGCAGAGAAGGGAGGGCTACACAGCCTGCAGCTAATCTAGTTCAAGTTGGAATTTGTCTCAGATGCCTTAAGCATTATTCAAAACAGTAGAGGAAACCCTACTGGTAGCTGGTAGACGTAGATGAAGCCCTAGAAAGTTATTACCCTTTCCAAGATACAGTAGTCCAGAGTCGTCCAAAATCACAGAGCTGTTTCACCGCCTTGGACACGGGAGAGATGAGAGAGAATGCCCAAACAGAAGCTGGCATCACAGCAGTAAATCATGCCACAAGTCTCGTTTTAGTGTTTTTAATAATTTGTAGGTTGGACAGAGTGCTCAGAAGGAGATTTAAGGGACCGTTGCGTCCTTAAAGGATAAGCCCTACTCATTTGTCTTATTTTTTATAGTTTTCTACCAAGAGGTCTTTTCTTGGAAACCGTCTAATGTTCTAAACCATTAAACACACACACACACACACACACACATAATTTTGACAGAATTTAAGTATGCACACACCATGAAAATGTTCCGTTCTTTAGGACTCAGGAGAACCTTCCACATAAACAGTTCCTAAGTCGAAGATTGTGGTTTAGGATTAGAAAATAGCAACCAAAAA